ACTTAAAATATCTTTACTTAATGCATAACACTTGAATTTAAATACTCTTGCTATTATGTTAGAACAATTCTTAGGCCTTTGTCTTAAAAGAAGTATACTTGAGATCTTTGACCTTAGAGGATTTGTAATCACTATTCCAAATATATTTAGATATTAAAATTATCAAATAATAGTCATAGAATTTTAAAAGATTTCAAATAGATTTTTTATATTTCTAATATAAGATGATAAAAGAATTATCCTTTGCTATAGATTTTATATGTCAATTTTTGATTTTACACATGTCCAAAAATATTTATCAATCATTACTATACATTTGCCTATAACCTATGTTCTTTTATATTAAATTAATTTAATATATTTTACTCTATTGCTGCCCAAATATCTATAATAAGTTCTTATGATAACCTCTCACCTTGTAAGATAGTTGATTACATATTACATTGTGAAAAAAATTAATATGAATTAAATTCTATTTGAATAATATATACAATCTATATAATTATATTTTCATATTTATTGGCATTCTTATCTCTATATTTTATTTGGTCATGCCATCTATATTCTTTGTATAAAAAAATAACATATTATCTTAACAAGTATGAAAGATATTCTTCAAGACTTTGTTGCAATGGACCTCTCTTCTATCAAACAACAATATTGTTCATTTCTTATATATTTTTTCAATTGTGAAGCACAACAACAGCAACATTATTAAAATTTAGAAGATTATAACGTCTTTTTATGATGTGTTTACCAAAGTGAAGATATATGTATATATCATCATTGCTCTCTTTTCTTTTTCTTGCTTAAGACAATATTTCATGAACTTGTCAACAAAGTGAAAAAAATATATGATATTTTTTTAAATATTCTTAAAGTTTCTATACTTTTTAGGTTGAAAAATATGCATTTTGAGCCATCTTTTTTTTATATGCAATGTTATGATCATAAATATTAAGATGCCTATAACTTGCTTCTATACCTTATTTTATTAAAAGAATATTTATTTGATACTGAAGCTCTTTGAGTATGCAAAAGCCATATGGACCATATTTCTATAAAAAAGTATTATCAACTTATGTACCAAGAGATATAAATGCATATGATGTATTATATTATCAAATAGTCTTCCAAAACTTCTTGATTTATTCATCTTGTTTATTAAGTAGCTTTTTAACTAATAATAAGGGATCTTTGAAAAATAGAAGTTTAATCTTTTTATAAAGATAATATGGACCAAATTGTACATTTAATTTTATTGGTAGCATAATTTATTCATCCATCTAATAAAGTACCCTGCAATGTGAGCATTGAACGTCCATATTTCTAATGTTGTAATAATCTTCTAATATTTTTATTTTTATTTTTATTATGATATTTGAAAGCAAGTTGCTTCCATTATTTACCAATTTCTCCTATTCTATCATGTTCTTTTGTTTTTTCTTCTTGTTGAGCACATGAAATTGTATCTTTTTTCATGCCTTTTGTCTTTGATGTTCATTTTTTCAAAAATTAAAAGACTAGGTAATGTTTCTATCTGCACCATTATTTCCATTAACTACAGTAATAAATTCTTCCACCTCATGTTTATTACTATTTTCTTTAGTACATTCATGTGTCTTTTGTTTTAATTGTCTAATTACACAACAATTGCATAAAGATGTAATATTGTTCAAATCATTCCATTGTGCATCTACAACCTCTAATCTTCTTCTTATATATTCTTCATTTTCATGTACATGCCGCTTAGTATATTCATATGTTCTTTATCTCTATTATCCAATAGCTCAATAATTAACAACCTCAAGGTAGCTTTTGAAAAGATTTCTATAATTACTATCAACATGTCCATTTCTCTTTACTATGTCCTTCTCTCTAAATTCTCTTCATTCATTTTTTCTTTAAATAAATTGCTTTTCTTTTTCATGAACCAAACTCATAATGGAACTAAATATAAAAAAAAAATATCTTTTTTAATTGTTGGGCAATAACTTTCAATAATAATATTAATAACTATGACAATAATAAAATGTAGATTTTACTTGATATCTCGATCGTGTAACTTTTGTCTTCAAAGTGTGGTTTTAAATAGGCTAATTTCTAAATTAACATCAAAACAACAACTTATCCTTGCATATCAACACTATCCAAAGAACTACATAAAAATATTATTTAAAACAAAGACACTTATCTAAATTGGTTAGAAATAGTATGATATAGTATTTTATAGGTCCTCTTATTTTTTATTTTAATAGTTTTCTTGATTATATACAAATTATTGGCATTGCAAACCAAACTTGAATAGGAATCATGTATAATTTAGAACTATAAAACAAAACAAAAGAAAAAAAATCAATTAGTTATTATATGTAGGATAGAGACACTTGAGCGCAAACAAAGTGAGAATAATTTCTACAAAAAATGAGCCATCATCAACAAAGTTGCTAATAAAGAGATAATGATTTTCTTTTGATGGGAGACTATTCTACTTCAAAATATTTAACAAGTCATAGTATTGCATCAATTCCATCATCCTTTTGGTTAGAAATCATGCCAAACACCAAGGCATGAAGTAATAAATGGGAAATACAAAGCATTTCCCCTACAAATAATTTTGTTGTACATGTCCATGAATATCACCATAAACAATAAAATGCCATGTGTCAAGAACTATTATGTGAACCAAAGTTGGCATTGCTAACCAAATCTCTTGCATTTGTATGAGTATTTGAAAGGCACACCTGAAAAGAGAAATCAAAAATCAAAAATAAAAAATTATAAAACTAGTTAGAATGACATTAATGTGACTGCAAAAATTCCAAGAATGCTTCATACATATGCACCGCAGTGATCCGAGAAATCCCAGCAAATTTCAAAACAATTGACAGTATCAATTCTTTGATTTTAATTTTGTGGAAGATCTGTTTTTCCAAACAATACCAAAAAGATTGATATTTCTATCTCATTTTAATCTCTGCGTGGGTATGTCACCAATTCTTCGCAACTTATGCTGTGTTTATAAACTTGATGCTTTCATGATAGCTTTTGTTCATGCTCATAAATAAATGTTGTGTGTCCTTGCTGGAAGATGTACTTAATACTGACTTGGAAATCGCTGTGGTTGCAAGTTTGCCATTACAACAACTTTTGGACTAACGGCCTGTCGCACTGCAGCGTTGACCATCGCATAATCTCTTCAATCTTAATCACACCAACAAAACTAAGCAAATCTGCCATAATTACAATTTTTATGTGGATAAGTCACTTTGATTTTTGGCTTTCATTTCAGTGATCCATGCACTTCAATTCTCAATTTGTCCTAATTCTAGGGCTTGCTTAAATGCTTGCAGTCTGACAGCATTGTGTAATTTTGATTAAAGTGATTGGGATCTAATTTTTAGTATTTAAATAGGATATAGACTACATTTTTGATCTAGCTGTCTTATGTTGAAAAAGTATATTACATCATTTTGTGGCTGTTATACTTTAAGGTCAGATGTTTGAAGAGGATACCCGTTGCTGTTGGAGGAAATCCTACTTAGTTCAATCTCTGTTGGAGAGAATCCTACTGATTTTAGTATCCACCATATCACCATGCCTACTGTATGAAACTTCACTAAAACTCCCAAAAGAGCCAAACTTGTGACATTCCTCATTTGTGTGAAGTTTAGAGACTCATTTTTTGAACATGCAAGAAGTATATATAAATACCCAACTGGGGTTCCCTCTTGCGTATCCTAAGCTGTGCCGCCATGCTCACGCTACTGGATTGCCTCTACCTTTTACTGAAGGCCCCAAGCGGATGATGTAAGCTTCAGTCTGCCCTTTTCTTGTTTGCCATAGCCACGGATACGCGGTGACCATTATAAAGTCACCGTGTGTGACATGCTCAGCCGAATGAATCAGCCTCTTATGTGCAACAAATTTCAAACCATGTGCCAGTTTAGGATTATCCATACCAATTTTCCCCATAAAGGACGCATTTAAAGTTCTGTTTATTTGGCAGAATCTGTTCCTGCACCGCTAGTTGCGTTATCCATGCTGGTGATTGGCAAGTTGTGTTACTCGATGGAAATAACCACTGCTGTTTAGACGATGGTGAGTTGAATCTCATAAGAGTTGTGTCTCGTCGTTGTCATATCATTCAGGCAACGTAGTCCAGTGAACCGGAATAGGAAAGGTGAAGGTCTTGTGTAAGCATCGCACGCGCATAGGAATGTGTGTAAGGCCGGTTTCAGGTCACATGTCATTGTAGTAGTAAATAATGGCTGAAAAGCTTAGTTTCTCCGCTTCAACGTAACTCGCATGAGGATTGGGCTGCTACAGAGCTAAACTATTCAGATCAGCTCATTCCAAATCCGTAACAACCTCGGTCTTATCAACACTAGTATTAGTAACTTTGGGCTTAAGCATTGTTGCAATGAATCTAATCATAGTCCAACTCTTTCTTGGAATACAATCTTGCTCATGTGTTCGACAACCGCCTATCAATTTTATAGAGCAGGCGTTCTACAGATTTACAATCAGTTCTCGTTCTTTTTAGCTTTGTTATAGATTCCTAATCATGTCTTTGAGGAGGAAGAAGAGCTTCCCGAGGAGAAAATAAATTGCAATGTGCGCTTCTCATATAAACATGCAGTGCAATGAATTAAAGGTTGAATTCTACTATCATCAGACTTACCCTCTGCACCAATAGACGGCAAACCAAAGAGAACAATCAATTACCAGGCATTGCAGCTGACACAGATTTGGGGTCCATGAAAGTACGTGTCACTCAGTTAAGAATAGGCTGCAACAAGGCAATCGAGTGCCCCTTTGCCTGTGGAAACATTGTCAGCTCAAAACCATTGACTTGGGTGCACAGGCTGTGAAAGAGCAGAGAAGATGTGGGGGTTGGGGGTCATGCATGAGGGACTTCCAACCGAATGCCCACCCTCCCCCTCCCCCCACTCCCCATGTGGGTGTGGACATCAACCTCGCCCCCTGCTGTGACTACATTCACCCTTCTTATTTGGCTTCTCTCGATGCCTCCTTGAGCAGCTACCACTGATCCCCGCTTCTTCTTATTCCATCCATCCCACGCCCTCGTCTCCCATACCCTCTCCAACTCCACTCCCTAACACCAAATTCAGTCCGGTCGACTGAATGGATCCCTCTGGAGTTGACGAGAGTATCTCAACTGAATTGATTCCAAGCCCTGTCATTGATGGGTTAACTTCGCCTCAAGAGCAGGATCACATCTTCCGCAGCACACTGCCACTGAATCCCATCGTCGTCCCCCCAAAAGGCTTGACTCTTCACGGCTATGTCCTGGACAACATTGAGGACTATCTCCACAGGATAGCGCTTATTGACTCGAGCAACGGGCGTCACTACACCTACGGCCAAGTGCAACTCTTAACGAAAAACATTCAGGCAGGACTATGGAACCAATTCGGCATCAGAAAAGGTGACGTTGTGATCGTTTTGTTGCCCAACATTGCGGAGTATTTCATATTCGTGTTGGGTATCATTTCCATTGGTGCCATTTACTCTGGCTCAAACCCAGCAGCGCATGAATCTGAGATTCAAAGGCAAGCTGAGAATTCCGGGGCAAAGCTAGTCATCACGGACCTGAAAACGTACAAGAAGGTGGAAGCACTTGGCCTCCCCGTTGTGGTGATGGGTGAGGATGTGTCAGATGGATCCTACTGTTATCTGTCTTTGTTCGAGGCGGATGGTTCACAAGCGCCGACGGTAGATATTTCCGAACACGACGTGTGCGCTTTACCGTATTCTTCAGGTACAACAGGTGTATCCAAAGGCGTGATGATCACTCACCGGAATATTGTTGCGAACCTGAACCAAACCTTGGCGGACATCGAGCGTGCGTACAGGGGTGGAGTCATTCCTGATGACGAGAGTGTGGTTCTTGGGCTTATGCCTTTCTTCCACATCTATGGCATTTGCGGGATTTGCTGTGCTGCAATGCGCTTGAAAGGAAAAGTAGTTGTCATGGCCAGGTACGCACCTGAACATAACCATGCATTCTCGCTAAACACTGAAGCTTCGTATTCTGACATTCGTCTTGGTATTGTAATCTGAATTTGCACTTCAGATATAACTTTCAGGAGTTTCTAGACATACTACTGAAGTACGAAATCACTTTTGCACCCATAGTCCCTCCGATACTTCTACAGCTCGTGAAAAAAGACTTGGGGGAGAACTTCGACCGCAGCAAACTAAAACTAAAGTCAATACTCACAGCGGCAGCACCTCTGGGCATTGAACTGCAGAGGGCCTTCGAAGCTAAATTCCCAGGTGTGGAAGTCCAACAGGTAAGACTAAACGCTAAGAATCACGAAATTAGGTGTTTTGGGAGTACTTCTTGGGTGAACTGAGAGTCATTATTTGTCTTAGAGTTGGCATTATGGTTGCAGGCGTATGGATTAACAGAGTACAGCTGCGTAACAGTCTCACATTGCAGCCCTATTCACGGAAGAGGGCCATCCAAGCCTGGCTCTGTGGGATTCATCTTGCCAGGGCTGGAGGTAAAGTTTGTGGATCCAAACACAGGCTTGTCGTTACCCGCAAACACCCCGGGAGAGATTTTTGTGCGAGGCGAGTCCACCATGAAAGGTGAGCATCTCTCGCATCTACCTTATACAGGCTTCTCCCTCGTCTGCCATCACCAACATCATTTCTGATTGCGTAGCTTCACTTAATGAATGCGGTCTACTGTTTTAAGAGAGTTGTCAACCTTATTAAAGATTTGCCGAAGTTTTGGCAGTCCAAAATCCTCATACTTGATGGACGCGGATTTGTTCATAAAAAAAGTGCAAAATAGACGTACGATTATACTTTGTGGATATCTTGTGGATTGTGGGATGCAACCAGGGTATTTTAAAAATCCAGCAGCCACAGCAGCGACCATAGACTTTGAGGGCTGGCTCCACACGGGCGACATAGGATACATAGATAACGATGGAGATGTTTTCATTGTGGAGAGAATGAAAGAGCTCATCAAATACAAAGGCTTTCAGGTATGATACTAGTAAGCCATTGAAATTGTTTTCCGTTGAGAAGAAGTGCTACTGATTCTTCCTTTTTCTCTAACATTGTCGGCACTGCATCGACGTCACTGTGAATGTGTTATCTTTGGGTTTTGTGCAGGTACCTCCTGCCGAACTGGAAGCAGTTCTGATATCGCACCCAGCCGTAGCAGATGCGGCAGTAATTCCGTAAGACTCTAAATTCGATTAACTAAGTACCACTCGACGCATCTTTGGGGGGCTGGTTTTTGCACCTATAGCTTATGTGGATGTTTACTTACAAATTCAATAATCTCCACACTCGACATGCAGAATTCCTGACGAAGAGGCAGGAGAGATTCCTGGAGCTTGTGTGGTTCTTAAGCCCGATTGCTTCATTTCACCCTCAGAGATCCAGGCATTCGTGGCTTCTAAGGTGTGTTGCCTCACCTCGACCTCAATTAGAACAACCTCCACTTCAAAAACGTGCCCAGTTTCTTCATTCTTTGGTCTTAAGAGTAACCATTTCATCATGTTTTCGGTGTGATTTTTCAACAGGTGTCTACTTACAAGCAGGTACGGCATGTTGAGTTCCTGGCATCCATACCAAAGTCCTCGTCAGGTAAAATACTGCGACGTGTGTTGAAAGAGCAGATCGTGAAGGACCGCAATGCAACAAAGAGCGACGGTCAGCTCAAATAATAAACCCTGGGTTCTATAAGATTTCTACATTTATACAGGGAACCTTGGATTATTATAGAATCAACTGTTTACCCGAACTAAGTCTTAGATTCCGTTGCCATTGAGGTTTGCAAAGTCTAGCATGCTGTCGAGGTTGATGGAGATCCTCCGATTCACCCTTCGAAGCAGGAATGGTCTATGACTGCGACATTTGATGAATTGCACAAAATCGTTCATCAAAGTGAACCTCCACCAGGTTTAGTGCCTCTAGGTCTACCTGATGTGGTGCCGACCGCATGAAGTAGAGCTAGCAAAGCAATCCTGTATAAGTATCATTGCGCTGGCATTGCCTTTTCAAAGTATTTTAAAAGTTAAAGAAAATGCAACATTATGCCCCAGTGAACGGCTTCCTCCACACCCTTTTTCTATTGTTATAGCACTTTGGAAGTAGTCCCTTGAAGGGTGAAAATGACGTTGCGTGGTAGCTTTTGGGTGCACCACTCCCCACTGACACCGAAGATTTTAACTCCCTGTCGAATTACTTCCGCTTGATTACTAAGAGCTCTGTTTGATCTCACTTCAAAAATTCTAAAGGAAAGGAAAATTGGCAAGAATTAAAATAGGACTACCAGATCGAAAGAGAAGGTGATCACTTTCAGTAGGGTATACCATGCCGCTCGAATACCTGAGGAACCACAATGGGCCTGTAAAAAAGGAAATCTATGTTCTATAATCTGGACGGCACACAATTGAACTTCCACGAAGCTCAGACAAAGCTGTGGAACGAACTGGGTGCTGAAGCACTCCCCTTCTGAGTGAATCCCACATGTCCCTCTTCATCACCACATTACATTCCCTGCTCACTTTCATACTTTGCTTTCTTCATCTCCACTGACTGACATACTTCACGGCAAATTCCAAAACTTCCACTTTTCCACTGCCATTGAGAAACTCTCACAGCAGTGTGGAGCATGACATTCATTTTGACCAAATCCTAACCATTCAGTGTTTATGTTTTATATCGAAGAGGTATTTATAACATGGAACTTTGAGTTGCTATTGAAAATTTACTTCGCCAGGGTTTTTTTTTATAAAATCACTACAAATTCTGACAGCTGAAATAAATATCATGATATTATTTTTAAATAAATAATCCAAAAGTAGCATGATATATGTGTATATTAATATATATATACATATATACTTATATATTTATATTTATATTTATAACAATGATATAAGTATATTTCATAAATACATCTGTCAAAATAGAGAATTTATACTTTTTTAAATATTAATTTTGAGACAATAAATAGATTGTCTAAATTATAAAATATATAATCTATTTATAATATTTTGAAGATATTTTTATGAAAATTATATTACTTTAAATTAAAAAAAGATAATGGTTGATATTTAATATTTCATAAGATTAAACCTATTGTATGATAATGATAATATATAATAATATAGATTTGAGGTGCATATATAGAAGTTACATATCACACAATAAGTAACTTAAAAATTACCTATCATTTAAAAAATTAGTGATCAAAGATCAATTTTACAATATTTCTTATAAATACTTGGTTTTAGTTGCATATTTGGATTGACAAAATAATGACAGAACCCGAGTTAATAGGAACACGTTTGTTTTTTCATGACCATTAATAACTTACCTTAGTAGATATATTTAAACTTAGTTTGAAAGTACCTTTGCTTTCGTAGTATATTTACAAGTTACTGCGCAAAAAATCTATTACGAAAGGAATTTCAGCTCTAGTGGTCTATTTTTAACATCTATGTTATTTATTATTATGATATGACCTTCTTGTACTTTTATTTAACAAGATGTTTACTTGTGTACCATCATGCAACAGAATAGGCAAATAGAAAAATCAAATTTATGTCAACTTCAACAAAAGAAGGCTCAGAATCAATGTGGTAATGCAAAGTTGGGTCAAATATAAACATGACATTCTGATTAAAATAAATAACCACTCCACATATACCAGCTAGTAAGTACTTTGAATTAGGTTGTGTTGGCATTCTTGAACTTTTGTAATGTATTTTAATTAACATAAAAAATAATTTCAAAACTTTATTTTCATGATTCTTATTCATATCTTTAAATTTTATTTATTATTTTACAAAAATTACGTAAATTAATAAAAATATAAAAAAGAAAACAGTAATACTTGAGTGTTTTTTTCAAATAAATTAGTTTCTTATTATTATGCAAACAATTACTAATGTAGTTAACTTAACGATGAAATGCATAGATTTATGATGATAAAATGCATATAAACACACATGCATACAATTGGAACACATACAGCAAAATTTGAAGATGCAATGAAAAAAATATGGCACAACAACAATAATGGTAATAACCACTACAATGAAAGCTATGAACCTAATATATATATATAGAGAGAGAGAGAGAGAGAGAGAGTGCAAAGAGAAAAGATGGAAACGCCAGGCATGCAAATGTGACAGTGATGAACTATGCAGCCTGACAGGAGTACCGAACGGACCAAACTTTGATAGATTTTATGTTATATTTTGATTTGGATGAATTACTGGATGAAGATAAGAAAGGGAAAGATTTGAATACAAGCTGTAGAGATAAGCAACGGGCTTGGACAAATCCTGTGCCGCCCTGTAAGATTATAGATCAACTGCGATTGTAGGACTAAGCGGGATTTCCGCGGTGGCTCACTTTAATATAAAAAGGATTGCCCAATCTATATCGGCAGGTATTGGGGTGCACTTTTCTAGGATTGAAATACGAATTGTTTTGTACATTGCGAGTGTTTTGCATCCACGTGTGGGGCTGTTCCGTTGCTGAGGCTGCTTGCTCCATAGACGTTGCCCGCCTTTGGTGGAATCCAAGCCTTGCACACATCTTCAAGTCCATCTCGTCAAGTCGCCTCCCATTGGTCGTGACTAGAAACACGACGGGCCGTTTCTTTGGTGGAGATGTCAGGTAATGCATGCGTGAGAATGCACAGGAACTCATTATCATGCATCAGAGGGAGGAATCCTGTTAACATGTCTCTCTTCGATAGCCTCTGGGAAAATCCTAAGCTAAAGGATTTGAGAATCAGTGGGGAGATTGCAGGATTCCATCGAACAACTAGCCTACAAGATTCAACGACTCAGCACAACTAATGGTGAAAGGGAGAATTGTGACACATTGCCGAGGAATTCTACAAGGCTGCGACCCGACACAACAAGCAATGGCCTCCAGAGACGTCCTGCGTTGAAGAGGCGCTCCCACAACGCTCAGAACGCATCGAAGAAGGGCACAGCTCGATGTTGACCCTAAATCGAGTGTAGCATGGAGTCCCTCCTCTATGCCTCAAGCAAGCAAAAATCAAAGCTAACCGCTGTCACGCCATGCAACATCATTCACTTCGGCGTGAGGATTCTACGCACCATTGATATTATTGCTCTGATAGAGATTCCGATTTTTCAGCAACTCGCCTGCAGAATCCAACCATTTAACAGAAACACTATCTTGCACCTACTCAGCAGTACATGGTGCTACGATTTACATCAAATTCACAAGAATTTTCCTCTCTTCGAAAGACGCCCACAGCTACTCGACTCAGGAAGTAGGTTCTATTGAGCAACTTCAGTAATTGGCACAGCGATCTTCGCGTCATCTCATGCAGGACCGACCCACTACTCTCCAGCAACTGGGACGTGGGTCACCACAACTGCTTTGCATTTGGGCTTTATGACATCATGATGTCCTTTCGAGACGACTAGACACGTTACTGCATAATAACCTGATAATGTATCAAGGAGGGCTTCTCGGAGCAAGGATTGACATTGTTCGCCAGAACATACCAGCTTGCCGACATCGAGCTATTGGAACGCCTACCTAATTGAACCAGCTTTTAGAAACCTCTGGTAAGATATCCTACACACCATGTCATCACTTCCCCCAAATCTGAAAAGCTCATCATATCTAGGGCCCTTGCAGACACGATGGGTTCTCATCCAACATCTTACTACACCACAGAAGGATTCTCTGCAATCATGACCTCTGAGCCGTCATTGACACCCCTCGACCTCGTCACAACATCAACCCTTCTTCTAGCAATAACACCTCTCAATCTTCGTGAACTCCTGGTTTCTATGACGCCACAAAGGCTTATTGATTTCTTCCTTGAGGATCAAGTCCTTCACAAGCTTCGGCCTGTCATGGCCACAATGGACAGTTTGTTGCCTCCCAGGTCATCACAGATGGTTACGCCCTTACTAAGACCCACTTCATCCTTTTTAGGCCATCATCCCTCCCTAGTCAACATCAACAAATTATTGCTGCTATCCTTTGGGAAACTCTCCTTAGGAGTTGATTACTTGGCATTTATTAGCAACTTCACTGCTGTAGCGGATGCTTATCAAGCCTCAGAGGCATACAAAGTATTGCAATATAGTACTTTCCTACTCTGTGATGCACAAGACTTGTTCGAATCTTGCCTTAGCCACATCACCCCACCCACTTGGACATACAACCAGTAACTGGGAAAAACATTATTCATGCCTCCTGATCAATGCAATGTAGATTAGGATTACCTGAACTACACCAAGTATTATTATAGTGACAATGATCTACATTTTTTGAGGTTCACTCACCATGCCAAACTCACCACAGGTGATGGCTGAGAATTTATGTGGAAGGCAGCAACTTAACACTCTATTCAATCTCTCCCACCAGATTTAATGCATGAAGCTAGTATCAATGTCTTACCATCTGATAAAGCTATGCTGTGGCACTTAAATGTCTGCCTTCAGTATTCAAGGCTTACCACATGAAGTCACAAAACCGAGATAAGCCATCCTTATACTTGACTTGAATATAACCTTGTCCATTAGCACTGACCCATGCCAAGACTAGGACTATGCTCATGACCATGAACCTGATTAATAGAATATTATGCTGAAAAGTCATTCCTAACAATTAACTCTCTTGCAAAATGAAATTTGATGGCTGAAAACCAAATTTCCAGAGGAGATTCCAGTAGCAAGCTGTTACTAGCAGAAGACCTACCTTTGTAGCATCTAGGACATACTTGGTCATAACAGGATGGCATGCCCCCTTAGACCATTCATGTTCCAATGATTGGATGACATGAGATACAACCTTAAAGCTCAAACTACATTACACACCCATAAAAACAAGTCAGCACATCCCCAAGTGGCCAAGGTATGATGCCCACTGTAAGTCCATCCACTATCATGTTTTTAGCATTTTTTTGCTTAACTATTCCTCTTCTTCTAAGAAACATCTTCCAATCCAACCATAGATCATCCTGAGGTAGATTTAGGGCCTTGAAATAACCCTAGTTGTAAATACTAGCTACAATCATCCTTGCTATCATGAAGTTGTTCAACCTACAAATCAAGTCTAACAATCTACAAGTCACTATTGCAAATAGAAGCACATATAGCTCCCTTAGAACCATCCTTATAACTATCAAAATTATTAGCATTAGTAGTATAATTGATGCCATTATAAGCATATGCAACACAATTTTTCTTAGTCTTGACTTGATAGATTAGACCTCTTGCTTACTGGATATTACCAACCATTATATGACTCTTCATCCACACAATCTTGAATTGCAAATTGTCTCTCTAACAACAATGATGATGGTATTAAGGTCGACCATAGCATCATCATTCCCAGTTCTTTTTATTGATTTGATCCACTAAATTTGATGTCACTTCAAGAGCTTCTGACCACTTAATGATCACCTTTATATATAGGTGCCTTTCATACTAGGATACAAAGTGCAACCTTTGACATCAATTTCACAACATTCCACCTTAATATGTGTAGAATAGGTAAATAAATTTTGTAATAAGTTACTAGTTGGTTATTGACAACCTTGAAAATTAGACTTATGGTTAGACAGTTTAGTTGGTAACAGTAGGATGTTAGTGGAACAAATGGTTAAGAATTCAAAGGGCCATAACTTTTGGAATCCGCTAGCCGACAGATCATCTTTTTGGTAGAATAAAAAGGTTAAGGAAAGAGAAATCGAGGCCAGACTGTGAGAGTCATATGTCGAGGTAAGTTTGGTGCTACCTCTTTGTTTTCTTTGCTTTTATTATTTACTTATGAAGAATTGTAATTAAGAGAAGTATTGTTGAATTGATAGTTGTAGAATGGATTATGTGTTGAATTAAGACAGAAGTAGTAAGCCTTGGTATTTTGTAGTTTAATAATTGATTTCAGATAGCCAGAGTATAGTCACTTGTGACACTAATAGGCCAAATTCATATGACCAGTCTCTCCCTATGTTCGAATCTACCTCTATTAGTTCAATTGCTTTCGTATACTAAAGCTTGAATACAACGAGAACAACATTTTAGCGCCGTTGCCGGAAAAATGATAACAATATGAAATCTTAGAAATTGATTATATTGGAAGAATGAAAGATTATGAGTGATAATCATGAAGGGGAAGATTATCAAAGAATTAATCGACAAGCGAAAGAAAAACAGGAGCAATTACGCATAAGAAATCTCCTACAGGAACGACAAAAAGGATTTGTAGGTCCAAGTAAAACCAAAGGAAGAAAAATTCAAATTCAAATAGCAAGGAGACTAGTGATAACACCAATGGCTGTGGGAGTGCTAGAAGTACCAATTAGGCTGTGATCCCGATCACCATGTATCTCAATTCTTGACAGCCTGCATGACTAATAATGGTAGAACTGAAGACATTTGGTTGAGATGGTTGCCAGCAACTTTAAAAGATACAACTTTTGAATGGTATATTCGGCAACCAGTGGATAGATTTCCCAATTGGGAGGCCTTGAGGAATGCCTTCATAACCCATTTTAGACCAATTAGATTTGAAGATCGGTGTAGAGAAAGTTTTATGAATAGAAGGATGTTTGCGAGAGAATCCATAGAATCCTATTATGGCCTGATCGCGGATATACTTCGTAAATGGTCAAATAATCAAATGTCAGATGCGTTTATATTATCGATATTAATTAACGGTTTGCATCCACCAGAATTAAAAATGTTGTAAAAGAGGCTCGACCAGCTACGGTAGAGGCATCGTTGGCATGAGCAAAGGTATAGAAAGAATGTCATTATGACCAATTGTTAACAATAGGAGCCACGATGATTCCAAGTTCAGAAAGCCAACAAATACTACCGAAAAATGTATCGATGAGTAATTATCCACAAATGGCTTCCTCTAATATGAAGAATGTTATGTTGCAACAACCAATTAATGCTACACCACTCCAAGCAATAGTGCTAATAACAATGACACCTTATTTTACATCGCCAACTTATCAACAACTGGAGTTGTTCACAAATGCAACTATTAAAGATCCAAATGAAGCCTTGTTATTAAATCTAAGAAAGAAGATGGAAGAATTGGTCGTGAATTTGACTAAAGACAAGGAGAAATGACATAAACCTTCTAATACGAGATCTAATGTATGGTATAATAATTATAAGGGACAAGGTCATTTTGATATGGAATGTCCATCACCCTAACAAACAGGTGTTCAATATACATTTGCGGAGGAAAGTACCCTATTCAAAACTACTAGCATTTACAAAGGCAATAAGAATTCAGTAATCAAACCATGATCCCACCAACTCAGTGGAAAGTCAATCAAGTTCAAACAAGAAATACATATGGATGGAATGAAAATCGATCTAATCGACAAAATTAAACATTCAATAATTTTCAAAGTTCCAATTTTAATCAGGGATCTACATCAAATCCTTAGAATTACGGAAAGGAGCAGCAAAGGTATCAGCAATATGCTCTATCGACATCATCAAACTAAGAACCCTCTGTACCAACGGGACAACCAGGATCATTTTCTAACCCTGCATCGAATAAGCCTAGTAGATATATACTAGTAGAGACACCCAATATGCCAAATGGAGGTGCAAGAAGACCACTTCATTGTTTCTGTTGCAGACAGATTGATCATTATGCCAGTGAATGTTCCAATCCTAGAGCCAGTGACTAATATGCCAGTGTGTGCGAATTGCAAGCAGTCGGGACATACTTATCAACAATGTAATGCTCCGTTCAATTTCAATAATCAAGATTAGCAGATCCAAAGCCAAGAAAAAATGGAGGAAATAAATCAAGGTCCTCAAGATTCACTAATTCATTGGGTGGAAGTAGTCTGAGCTATCCTTACAAGAAGTTAACAAAACAGAAAAGGACCAATTCAACATTTTGGTGATCTTGAAGCAAAGAACCAATTGGACCAAATTATGGAGATATCCCATCCAGGTCTTGACATGGGCCCTTTATTCAGTATAAGACCTAAATCGGTTGTGCACCCCAATGAAGTACCAATTATACAGGCTTCCATTCCATATCAAGGTGTTCCATTCTCTACACAATTTTGAAAAATTTCCTTTTTGTTGAAAGATCTTCTAAGAGGCGTGAATTCCAAGGAACCAATATAAGCCCAATTGGAAGAATAATCTTATCCGTTGAAAGAACCAATTTTACAGGCTCCGTCAAATTTAGTTCCATTAGCTTTACCAATTTTTAATATAGAGAAAACCAATTTACTTGTGTCGGTGTCTAGGACTTGAATGAAAAAATAGACATTGAGAATTACCACTAATATAGAACCATATGATATTCTAAAAGATTTGGGTACCATACAGTCCACGATCTCTATGAAGTAACTATTGGCGATAACACCTGAGTGCCAAAATATCTTGAACTCCTCATTAATTCATTGCAGATCTCGAAATAAAGAAATCCAAGAAGTAAGTTTGAATCCCGATCCAGGTGCACCAAGGATTGATGTCTCAATTGATCAAGTTTTATTATCGGGAGTGCAAGTAGATGGAGGATCTAGTATAAATCTTATGAATACCGCTACAATAGAGGAATTGGGTTTGGATCACTTATTGCCTACTATAGTAGTTTTGAGAATGGCTGACTACAGTCGAGTTAAATCTATGGGTATTTTACAAAGTATTGATACAGTAATTGTGGGAATTACCTACAAAATTGATTATATTGTTTTCCGATTGCAAAGCTCTATATTGTCATATCCAATTTTATTGGGGCGACTATGGTTGTATCAAGCTAAAGCTCGAAATGACTGGGGTCGTGGTACATTGATAATTGATAAAGGTAATGATAAAATTATGCTTCAAATGTAACCTGTCCAATATCATAGAGAAACTCAATTTGTAAGTTCAGAATTCATGTCGAATTGTGAAGATGAGTCTACAGAAGAAGAAATTGGTGTACCTGACCCAATTTATGCTGATATAAGGCAAGTTGTTGAGCACACTAGAATGAAATACTTGTGTAGGGGACCGAGAGAGTACTTAGTTCTTCTAGATGTTATTAACGATTGTGATGATATGATTGCATATTGGATGAATAGATGGGATGTTAATCACGTTCGTGCTATGCAACTGGAGTTGAAAAGTTCTAATGTGTTGGATTTTATGAAAGATTTTGGAATTGACCAAAATATTATTCTAGAGACATCTAAAATTCCATGATGTCAACCAATTAATTTAGGTACAGGAAAAGCTGTCCAAATCATTCAAATTTATGACGATATAAAAGGCAAGGAGAAAGAAATTTGAGTGGATTATTTTTTAATGCATAAAATTGCTTTCACATAGTCGTATAGGGATTTCAAAGGAATTCCAGTTGAAGTTTGTGAGCATCAAATTATA